GCCCCCCGGCCGGCGAGTGGGGGACGTTGCGGGGGGGCGTCCTGCCCTGGAGGCAGCAGCGTCACCAGGTCTGAAATATGACATTATCGCATTGGAAGCGCAAAGGATCGCTTTTTCCTGGAAACCTGGCGTGCACCGAAAAAAAAATATAAGCATGCAAATAAGTTCTTCTTGTTATTTACTTTCTATTGCTCACTAAGTCGCCAGTGAGTGAGTGAGTGAGTGAAGAGTGGGTCAGCAAAGGTGAAGCGTTTCTTTAGTTCATGGCAAGCAGTCATCATAAGCAGGGATCCTGTTTTTTTCTGATTTTAAAAAAAAATAAGCCCCAATTTTCAGACTTAAAAAAGTCCCCCCAAATTCACACTTTTCCATAATTGACATGAAACTCCCCTAATATATAGACATCTATATATTAGGGCCATTTCATTTTAATCATGGGAAAATGTGGATTTGGGGTTACTTTTTTTCATCTAAAAAATGGGGATTTTCTTTTATCAGAGAAGAGCAGGATCCCTAGTCATAAGAAAGCATAGGCAGCTGACCCTAAAAGTCTGTTAAGCCTCCCTGACAGTGAGCAGTGATTCAGTTTTGCACATGCTGCGTCAATTAACTGCTTCAAATTGCCATACGTTTTGAACACTTAATATTATTGTACGTCGTTCAAGGGTTGAAATTATTGTACAGATACGGTAATTATGGTACACCTGGCAATGCTGCCTGGAGGATCCTCAGACATACTTAAGATGCCAGAAGGAACGAGGTTGTGGAGAAGCAATGCTAGCTGACAGCCTGGAAGAGTTGTTTGAGTGCCTTAAGTGCAGATAATTAACAGCTGTAGCCACTTTAAGCAGACCCCTATTGCACACAGAGCTGTGAGACCCTATTTCTTGCTGTGCCTGTTGGAAAACCCTGGTGAAAAGCACCTGTTTGACCCAATCCAAGTAGGCTTTGCCACTTCAATGATGGCTGAAGAAGAGTTGTATCTGTATTTACAGACCTCTCTATGGCAAACTGACAAGCAATAGCGCATCCCTTGGTCTGTAGCGCTGCAGCGCCCAACATCATCCTCACTTTATAGCAACCGGCCACCAACTTGCTCCTTTCCCACTTTACAGCACTGCTTCCTCTGCCTCCCCTCCCACATTTCCCCTGTCCCCCCTGATGCACATAGGTGCACACACGCACCACAAACTTTGGTGGACTCAAGCTGACTCTCAGATGGTGAGGGGACATGCTCAAAGCACTGTACACCACTGCTGCTTCCCTGGTGCTACTGAAGTCCACCACCACCGCCAGAATGCTGCCACAGCCCCACAGTGGGACTCCTTACTGGTGGGATCCATCCTTGGTGCAACCACTGTGGCGGCAGCAGTGGGTCTGGAGGTAGCATGGAGTTCAGGGGCATCAGTGGATCAGGGAATGAGGCTCTTTTAGCAGTGGGAGTCTGGGTGCAGCAGCAGATCTGGAGATGGGGGTCAGGGGTCCAACAGGTTTGGGGGTAATTGGTGGTGAGTTTGGCTCAGTGCAAATAGCCATGACCAGTGGAGCCAAAGGCCCCCACATTCTTGGCAGCTCGTGCCCCCAACTGGTGGCCCAACAGGCCAGATTTAGAAATTGGGTTGGATCCAGTCTGCAGGCTGTAAGATTGAGGCTCCACCTTACTTTATATGGTTTTCTAACAACAACAGCTCTTAGGAAAGATGATCACATCAGTAGCAAATTATGAAAAGGGATTTAATATACTGCTCACTTAAATGGCTATATACTATCACTTGCAATATCTTCCTAGATAATTTTCCTTCTTTGTATAATCCAAGCATAGTTGATTTTGTTTTTTAAATGTTAAGGTGATCATGCTGTTCTGTGTATCAGAATCAACAATGTTGCCACAGCTGTGGGAAAAGAAGCCAGACTTCACCTGTTTCGAGCAGAGGAATGGCTGGACTTACAGGACCAAGATCATAGCTGTACAGAAAAATTCTCTAAAGCTCAGCTGACAAGTGAGTTTGTCTTTTTAACCCCTGAACTATGGCTTATGACTATATATACTTAGCACTAAGTTTTGTCTTTTTTTGGAGTCAGTAAGACTTTTGTAACAAAAGTTAAGCATATCACAACTTTGAATTTAAATAGTATTCAAGAAACTACAAGATGAAATTTGCTTACTGCAAATTATCACTTTGAAGCACTTTTTTGAAATGATGTTTTGAAAAAGTTTATCAAGGACTGCTGGGACACTAAACAGTCCTTGATGAACTAAATACTGAAATGTTTTAATACAGGCAGTCTTATATTGAGTCTGGTTCTGGTTGAAGAGAGTGCTTATATTTGGGTGAAATTTTCCATGCTTGGATTCAACTCAGATGTTGTTCCCACCTTAAATGTAAGGAAAAATCTATTTGCAAATATTTATATAAAAAGATTGTTATGGAGTTTGCAAAATGGCACCCGTTTAGGCTTTATACCTGAAAAGCTTCATTTCAAACAAATATGCAAAATGAGATCAGTCAAATGAATGTGTGGGAGTGTCTACACATTCTTTAATGCACCATAATTCTGGCACATTGACAGGTATTAACTTATTGATCTGTAATTGGCGCTACTGTGCATTCGTGTAGATGAATTTTTTTTAGTGATGTTAATGTGCATTAGACTAACTCTATTGCACATTAGCATGGCTTTTGCCCACCACACTAATGTGCAGTAGAATTAATCTGTGCATTATGCATATCATGTAGATGTGCCCAGTTTGAGTTGAGCATGGCTCTAATGTATGTATGTGTATCATCTCTGGAATAGGAGAAAATAGATTTTTAAAAAACGGTCATAATGGATTCCAGTATATGTAAATTTATAAGAAAGATATTACATTATGTTATGTAGGGATACATAAGCTACCTCTGAATCCATTGAAGCACCAACTACTCTGTCCTAGTGCTCAAGTTACCTCAACTTTAACTGAGCATGCCACTGCATTATCCTGTGTAAACACACACTGAGTCAAAATGCATACTCCTTTGTAAGGTAAGAATATGTTGTGACACAATAAGCTAGCTTTGCTGCTGGGGGAAAAAAAAAACTTTTTTTTTTTTTTACTTCCTCATGCCAGAATTATATCATTTTTCATTTCTTTCTGTAAGTTTCATCTCTTAAATCAAAAGTAAATTGTGCGTACTAATTTTACAGTGTTTGTTGATCTTAATATCCTTTCATTATTTAAGTCTGCAATTAGCTATTCAACATTGAATCTTTAGTTCAAGGGTTGTTACTATCTGAGCTGATAATTATACCAGCATAGAATATGCATGCTATGTTGTTGTCTTTTGTTTCTAGAAGAATAACTCAGTTTTGTCAAGAGGCTTCTTTCTCCCAGCCTTGTGGAAAATGTATTGTTCAATGACAGGAAAACAAAAATAAAAGGCCAGAGTCACTTTCATGGAAGCATAAGTCTGTCAGCCTTTGTACAAAACATTGAAGATCCTCTTAAAATTCAGTTTCAGAGATGTGTTAATCAAGATAATGCTTAATTTGTGTATTGATCTGAGTGAAAACACAAATGGTAGAACAGCTAAACAATAACGCATTCAATAGTTCTGATTAGTTATGTAACTGAAAGATAGAGATACTAAGAGCATATTTTTGTGCCATTTATTGATTGTGACATTAGAAATCCTAATTAAAAGAAGCGTAAAGCATTCTTTATCAAATTAAATAGATATTAGGGTCTTTATTCACCAGTATCTGACTTACATAATGCATCTTTCTTTTCATGTGTTCCCTCTGTGCAGCCAGAAAACCACAATGTGTGAAGTAACTAAGATTTTTGACGTGCTGTTGGAATAGAATTATAACACAATCTGGTCATGATGATGTTGTATGCCAAAAAAACTGTTGTCCCATTATCCTTATTTCTTATCTCTGCTTGTTTTGTGGCATGCGACATAAGAATTATTCATGCTTAGAATATAAGACAAATTACCTTTGTTTGAGCCCTACCCCCCCCCCCCGCTGGTCCATTTTCATTTGGTATACTGCTCCTGCTGGTATCTGATGCAAATTATTTCAGAGGGACACACATTTTCATTGAATGCAAAGAGTACACTAAGCTGAAAGACAGCAAAGTGTCTGAATCCAGCTCTTGATGAACTAATGCCTTGAAGAAAAGGGAAACAGTCCTTTTAAATTCAAACTCACTTAATATTTTTATTTTATTTTAGGTGTTAGATGAAGAATTAGACCAGTAGTTGTCAACCAGGGGTACATGTACTCCTAGGGGTACTTAAAAAGGTTGTAGGGAGCACACCCCAGCAGAGGCCATGGGGGCGCGTGCCTCCCCGATCTGTGCATGGGGCTGTGGTGGCTGCCACTCTGTGGTGGGCTTAGTGCGCTGTGCAGCTGCCCCAGGAGTGGTGCAACTCCACATGCCCACTACCTCCGAGCTATGCACTCCCCCTGCCCACCCGGTGGCAGAACACACGTTGCATCGCACCACTCCCAGGACAACTACAGCAGCACATAAAGCCCAGCTCACAGTGGCAGCTGCCTCTGCCCTGCAGACAGATTGGGGGGGTGTGTGCCCCCCGGGCCTCCACTGGGGTGTGCACCCGGGCCAGCCGGGGCCCCATTCACCCCTGCCTCTGTCTGTGCTCCACTCCTTCCCTCATTGTGGGGTCCTCAATCTGCACCCCCACGGCCCTTTCCCTCCCCCACAGACTTACCTGCTGGGGACGGGGGGGCATGTGGGACATGCATGCACATGTGTGCATGCGCTCAGCCTCCACAAAATAATTTTAATATGAAGGGGTACATGAGCTGAAACAGACAGAAGGGGTACATTTGTTAAAAAAGGTTGAAAACCCCTGAATTAGACATTTCTAAATTGCTTGTCTCCAAAATATTCTTGAGCTCTGAGTGACAGATTTTTTTATCTCACTTAGGAATTTTTGTAATGTACAGGTTTGCTGTCTTCCTGCTTAGCCTACTCTTTGCTTTCTATGAAAATTAGTCGGTTGGCCTTTTCTGTTACATTCATTGCTTTATAAGCTCTTTTCTCTCTTCCCATTCAGCCATGCTCTTTATAACCTGTTTCGGAATCTGCCCTGAATTGTTCTCATTTTGTCAACTTTTCATTGCTAGTTTGTCTCCATAAAACTTCTGAAAACAGTTGCTGGTTGCAGCTGAGGGATTTTTTTAAGATAGCTTCTCTCAAATTGCTTAAATACAAAACAAGAACTTTGTATTTCAGCAGTGCTCTAGAACAGGGCCATCCAACTTATTCAGTTCTGTGGGGCTGCTCTCAGACGGAACAACTCACCTCCAGTGACAGGGCAGCAGGGAAACCAGAGGGTGGATGTTGCTGCTCCCCTTTCCTCTCTGTCTTCCCCTGCTGCTGCTTTGAATCACCAGCAGTGATCAAAATCTCCAAATTTGGTAGGGTACAAGTGGCAGTGGCATTCACCCCTGGATTCTGGAGCCATATGAACACAGTGGGCCTAGGTGCCTTTGAGCCACCACTTGGATGGTTCTTGAGCTGTGCCAGCACAGTGGCTCTGGTCACCACCTGAACAGCACTGATCTAGAAAAGTGTCAGACTGAAGGAATAATAGGCAAAACTTTAAAAAAAAACAAAAACCATGCAGAATATGGAGGCTGTTTAGAAGCAATTGAATGCTGAAGATACTGTCTCTTAATGGAGCTCTGGTTAACTTCAATATTAGCTACACAAGGTAAATCCCTGTTAGGAGACAAATTTAGTTTATTTACCTAACTTTTCTCTTATGACTCATACAGATATTTATATAATATTTATAAAATGCCCTTGTTTCTTCTGTTTCTACCTTCTTTTCTCCCTCTTAATATTGCTTCTGCATCTTTTTCCATCAACGTTACAAAGGCAATAAACCCATAGATAAAAAAGCTGTTTTCATACAATGTTTTAGGAGGAAGCATATTAATGAACCTTTTTAAGTAGCTTAAAAATCCCAGCTAGTGGCTCAAGGACTGAGTTGGTATTATGTATTTGTAATATCTTGTTTTACATTAAAGTACTGTATGCATTTAAATGCTCATTGCTCTCATGATTACCATATTTTTTTCTCATGTTTCTACTCCTTGTTTTTTAAAAGGTACCATGAAGGAAAAAGGATCTTAACTTGGGTATGGGTCTGAATAGTAACAGCTAGGGAATAGAGCAGGGGTGTCCAACCTTTATGAATGTGGGGCTGGATCACAAACTTTTTATCACCCAGTGGGCCGGTGAGCCATATTCAAAGACCTCACAGGAAGTGGTATCACATCCGGAAGTGACGTCACGTGACCTTTGACACCAATGAAGTTGCAGGAAGTGACATTGAAATGGGTCTAAATAACCAGTTCAAAACTCTCCCTCTATAGCATCCACCTCTGCCACTGTTCAGGACAGGATACTGAGCTAGATGGACCATGGGGCTGACCAAGCATGGCACTTTTTATTCTCTTATGTTCAGAAGCTCTTATGTTCTTTGGCTGAGCTTCCAAACTATGGCTGAGATTTGCAAAAAGGGGTAGATAGGCATGTTACAAAGTTGTCATAAAAGATTTGGAGTCCTCTAAATCCCATTCATTTTAATGGAAGTTGGCCTTTTGACTCAGCTTTGAAAATCTCAGCCCAAGGTGCCAACCAAATAAGTCAAAATATATTTTGCATTTCTATGCAGTGCGTCTATGTGGGGCTCTCCAAGCATTTTACAAACATGAAATGAACCTCAGGATGAGCCCAGCCAGAGGAGCAGAGGCTCAGCTGCACTTTCCCCCTACCTGCGCTGGTCAGTCCCGAGCAGCACACGGCT